ATATATATATATATATATATATATATATATATATATATATATATATATATATATATATTTTTTTTTTCTATTATAAAAATATTTTATGTTGCATTTTATTTGCAACTACTTTAACATATGTATATGCTAAAGTCATAAGCAGCATAAAAAAACAATATATATTGAAACAAACACGCAGAAGTGCATGTATATCGCTCAGAACAATAAACATTAAAGTCTATATAGCAACGTAATCAAATATTATTAATTCAACATTTTAAAACTCATTTATTAATTATAAATTTTTTCAAATATTCTTATCTAGATTATTTGCATAGTAAAAATTACTAATATAATTTAGAATACTGTTTAGTGAAAGTTGTGTAATTGTATACAACAAATCGTTCTGAAGAAAGGCTTTGTTAGATCGCTTGCTCGTAAACGTTTAATAATAGAGGACACTTCTTATGTGTGATATTGGATTTATATAGCCAATGTTGACACTCTTATATGACACTACCAATAATCGTTATCATCGTCAGTTGGCATTGATTTATCGAGAAGGTAAGATACATCAATATCATATTATATATCCTGTTTTCAAAAGTAGAGGCAATGAAAGTGAAGTTAAATATAATTAATAATTAGAAAGAAATTCTGTGTGCAAAATCAATTTCAGAAAAAGAAAGATTAAGAGCCGGGTTTTCAATAGCAGTTTAAACTTGGATTCAAATTTAAACTCTATTCCAACAATACGTTTGTTTTATTTAAACCGAGTTTAAGTTGAAATCTAAGTTTAAACTATCATTGAAAAACCGGCTCTAAATCCTTCTTAAATTATAGGATATAGCTAAGATTTTCAATAAAATGTCCAAGCAAAGCATCAAGTACAAATAACAATTAGACAGAAATTTTTCAGTAGAAATGTGATATACGAAGTGATGTATCGATATAGAAGGAATAAGTGTTTTTATAGACTTCACAATAAATTTCGATTGACTCTTTCTAGTATGTACACTCAAAGTGACATACTAAATTGTTGTATTTCTACTAAATGATTTTGTTTGTTTTTAACTTTTTCACGGTTTTCACGTATTTCACGTGATAGCGTACTAAATTTAAAACTATATTTATTTATATATAATTATACAAACCGCACACATACACACCCACACACACACCAACTAACGTTTTAGAATAGCTTCAGTTCCCATTTTTCTCACGAAAAATTATTCTAATGCTTAGTAAAATTATTATACTTGTGTCATATACCAGATATAGATCGAACTTCCCTAATTTCCATATATTAATCTTCTATATCTTATCCGTATAATCGATATATTATATATTACATGCTAAATATTTTTATGTATCTAAACTCACTAAATTGTTTTAGAAGTTTTCTTCGGATATAATGAGAAAGGAAAGAAAAGAAAGGAAATATTTATAATTTATAATTTAGGTTATTATTTAAGTTAGAGAATCTCGCGACTTGTTAATATCAGTAATATTAGGATAACCATTTATTTTTGCTAGGATACATAAAAGTGTGTCTTAGAAAAAGTAAAAACATTCCATATATCATCAACCTGTGCTGTCTCTTTCGATAGACAACATCTCTATCCTCATCCGCTTTTTTCTTTTTTTTCCTTTCTCATACAAATCAAAATAAAAGAACAATATCGATATATTACATGCTACATTTTATGTGTATTTAACAGTCCTCGTAAAATATAAATGTTTTGTGCAGATATTATGCCAAAAATGGGGACGGCATTTTTAAAATTTCTCTTTATCACTATTCTGACTCTCACTCCTATATTTGTTGTGGCTGAATATATACGTACAAAAAATTGCTTCCTTAATACTGGCCGATTATCCATCGATGAAGTCGTACCATTAAAATATGAAGTTGAACTCACATTAATGCCGCATAACAATAATATATCAGGCACAACTGATATTATGATAAATATGATAAAATCAAGGACATATATACGTTTACACGCAAGCGATTTGGAAATAAAATACTTAATAATTACAAAGCCTGATAGATATGGTCAATATCCAAAAGGAAAACTCGACGAAAACTCGATTCATAGACCAAAGGAATTAATATTTTGTTCAGAATATGAAAGTGTATTAATAATCTTTCACGATCCCATACCTTCTGGCAAACACATTTTACGTATTCAACACTCTTCTCCTGTCGAAAATAATTTGTACAAGATCTATTATCCGTATTCTTGGACCGGAATTGAAAAAAGGTAAGCTAATTATGTAATATTATAATCCCAATGCATAATTACAAACTTACTATTGCTCAATGTTCGCTTAGAGAGAAACATTGCTTGAACATTTTATATAATTACAAAGGACTATTTATAATTTTTCAGAGTTTCTTCAGAGAATTTTCATATTTTTCTCACGAATTTTAAAATGTTTTATAAGTATTTTAATGAGAGAGAGAGAAAAATTTAAAAGATTACAGAATCCATTTCTCAAATTTTTCCAAACAAACGTTCTTTCCACATAACTCATTATGCAAATATTTACTCGTTTAATGTTAATGCAATTAACATTAAATATTAATATTAAAAATTAATAAAAGAAACATTAAAAAGAAATACATAAAAGTCGGACAAATTCAGTACGTTTCATAAGTCCAGAACATAAGATTATCCTAAAGATTAAAGTGACATTATAAAAATTTTGCCTCAGAATACAAAGTGCCCAAAATTTTCATACAAAGCATGTATTGTCTAAAATGTAATTTTAGAAAAAAGAAATGTAATGAAACACGTTCAAAATGAAACATTGTTTCGATGCTGTTCATACAAACACACCAATTAGTCATTTGTATAAGTTATACCTCAGTTGTAAATACATTTCTATCAGAAACTTTTTTTCATAATGCAATAGGTGGCTGATCACGAATTTATATGCACCAAACACGATACGAAGACTGTTTCCATGTTGGGACGACCCAGCTGTAAAGGCATCTTTTCGCATTAAAGTGATTCATGATGAAAGATTCGTGGTTCTTTCGAATATACCCTCACAGTCTTCTTACAAACATAATCTCGGGCGTGTATGGACGTATATTAATGAAACCTCGATACCTACTCACTTGCTAGCAATTATGGTGGTCCGTGGTATCAAAATCGATTATGTAGAATTGATACCTATAGGCATCCATCATATATGGCACAAACCGGGATTCACGACACCATATAAATATGCACAAACTATAATACATAATATTTCGTTATCTATTTCGTGGGATACAACCTTCAATTTAACGACATATTTGACAGAGCTTAAACATGTCATTCTTCCTAATAGTCCTATGAAGTCCGCGGGAAAACGAGGACTCATTATTTATAGGTATGCATTATTTATAGTACATCTGCTCGAAATGTTATTATCCAAATCGTTAATAACCAAAGAAATCCTTAATATGTTCACTACAATTCATTCATTCCATTCTCCCCATATTCCACTTGGTAGTTTGCTATATAATTCTTTAGACAAACTTAATTTGTTTATGACATTATAATGTACTGTTGGAGACAGTGAATACATATGGTTTATTCGTTAAAAATAAAATCTTAATAGTTTAAGCTACAAAAAATTCTCGATACAAAAGATTCAAAAAATCTTTTGTATCGAAAGCTACAAAAGATTCTCGATATTCTAAACATCTCATATATTTACATTAATTAATAATTTTCTAATAACTATATCTTCTTAAACATTACGGTCAAATTAGATAAAATTGTTTAACATAAAGGATTATTAATATATTTGTGAATACATGTAATTAAAAATATGTAAATAATATAAATGCGCGTGCCCACATGTGTGCGTTTTAACACACTAGATTTCAGTTGCATTATATCCTCATAAAAATCAGAAGGTCTTTATACATTGTGTTGTATGTTACATATAAGACTAAACATTATATCACAAGACTTTTTGTCATATCATTTAAATTAGGGTAAACAAATACAATAAATATTCTGACTGCAAATGTGTTAAAACTTACAAAGTACTCATAGTGCATATATGGACGTGTTAAATGTGCATACTGATTACGAGAAGCTTTTAATGGAAATAAATTTCTCCACTTACAGGCAAACGGATATTACATACAATAATGGTATAGACTTTCCCGGTCAACAGATTCATGTTGCAAAGGTGGTAGCATATGAATTGGCACGTCAATTATTCAGTTTTATGGATCCAAGTTTAGACAACGAGTGGATAAACGAGATACTCGCGTCCTTCTATGGCTATTATATTTTACATGAGGTTCATTTATCAATCAGTATTTGTGAAAACTAGCTATTGTAGTTAAAAAATCTCAGTAACTCTATAAGAAACGCTAAGTTCTTGTAAATGCATTATAAATTGTCACATAGAATTTATTTGTTCTATTAATGCAAATATCTGCCAATGGTATTATATTAAATCTTATAGAAAAAGTTATTATTTCTAGATGTGGAGCGATAAGACTATGGAGTTGTTCGTAGTCCAAAATTTTCTGACAGTTTTAGATTATGAAAATTTTTTAAAGCTGGAATTTAATATACATCAAGCCAAGAACGATGGAATTGATGGATTACTTTACTCTCTCTTATATCATAAAAAAGGTGAGACTTGATAAATACATTTCATCAATTATTCTATATTATTTGAATATCATATGCATCACCGTCTGCATGATCTTAGCATTCGTTCTAATTCGTATGCTGCTCCATCTTGTCACTCCGCAAAATTTTCGCCTGGCCTTGGGGAAGTATATAAACTCATGGTATAAATCCGATCGGTGAGTTGATTTATACTGCAACATTACAAATATATATCTGATAATTATATAAGCAAGACGTTTATGCGCAAACGGAACTAGCTCAATAGGAAAACTGTTAACATTTTGCAAATTTCAAAATAGTTATTTAAGTATTAATTAAATAATATTAACGAATATGTGTATGTGGCAAATAATAAGTTTTTGGGTTCTCAAAACAAGATCTCATTCAAGATTGCTTGAATCTCTTAACGATCATCTGACAACTGCGGCCGATGAGTGATGCGCTAACTGCAAACCTCCATTGTCTTGTTTTTAATTTTCAGATGTATAACTTTACCTTTCTAATTTACTTTAAAAATTATAGATCGTTCAATCGTTGTATCCAAATGAATGATATGCACATTGCTAGTTTTAATAAAAATACGAGGTATTTTATGAAAAGAAGACATGATTCCACGTCGAATTATGAGTTGAATCATTCGCACTATTATTTGTGTCATTGCATAATTACTCATTTTATATATATATTTATTTATTTATTTATTTATTTATTTATTTATTTATTTACTTATTTATATTACATATATAGACGGTTAAATGATATAGTATTATACCTACATTTAGTCTATGAGGTAATCCTTAAAAAGTAACAGATGTCAACAACAATATAGCAAAAAACTAAAATATGATTTATTTTTCTCTATCAGCCCGGAATTATGGACCTGTCTGCAAAACGTATATTCTCAAGAAGGCAATACCATAAAAGAAATAATGGAATCATGGCTAGTGGAAAAATACTATCCTGAAATAAAATTCATACGTGATTATAATACGGGAACAGTGGAGTATCGCGCGACATTCGCCAGTCAAAACAACGTTAGTAAGATACCTCTGACTTATGCTACACCGGAAACTATCAGTTCCTACAACACCTCGAATGTAATTTGGTACGAAGGACGTCTGTCGAAGTTTATTACTGACGTTGATCCACAACAATTTTTTCTAGCCAATATGGAACTAGTCGGTAAGCGCAGCCTATGAACCTTCAATGTTCCATTGTTTATTCTACGAAAAATTGACCATCAACGTAATTCCAGCAAGTTATGTGTGCGAAAAATGCTGTCTCAGCCAGAAACTCAGCAAGAGTCAGGAGCAGTAATTTTCGCACACTACAAGCAATCGCTGATGTATAAGTATCATTTCGATTAGAGTGGGAGTAGTAGGGAAATATATTGAGTTGATCCATAAATTCGGAATCACGGATTTTTTAATAAAATGGAAATATATTCTTGTTAAAACTATTTTAATCGATAACATATGCGCTTTTCTATTCTATTTTAATCTTTTACCATCATTTATAACTCCTTTCTCGTAAAACTTTTGTGTATTTCCGACGAAGAAACGTTCTAAGTGATTTTTCATATCTTCTAAAGAAGCTTATACAAAGTTTATTATGAAAGGAGTTCTGTAATGAGCGAAACAGGTGATAATGGAGCAACATCAGGTGAATATGATAGATATAATAAAACATCCTACCTAAACTCTAACCATTTTTATGGAAGTACAAAAACATAATGCACCGGAAAAATTTATTATTGCCTTTTTTCCAAGCTGCAACATTCGTTATATTAAAACATTATTATTTACACCGCAAAATATGCTCTAAATTGTCAGCTATCAAATACATAAATGGCCTAACTATATGGGAACTATTTTTTTCTTCTTCTAATATTAACATGCGGATACCAACTAGACAAAAATCCACACGAACTTATGGATCAACCCAATAATAAAAATTAAAACAGAAGGTTCGGTCTGACGTAGAAGGTAGATTCATCATATACGTTAGACTATAACAACCTCGGAACATATACTTGCACTGTCATTGTTAAAAATTTAGGACGGATAACTCGCAGTCCGCTCTAGTTGTTAGGTGCTCGCGTACTATGATTCAACAGAGACAATTAGATGTTATGTTTCGCGTGACTGACATATTGTAAGATTTCTAATCGTAACATAAATTTCGTGAACTGTTCAATTCTTTCCGCGAAAAATATTTATAGCGTCAATTTTTCTAATATACTTCTTAATAAGAAGTACAGTTGAACATTGAAAAAAATTTTTCGATAGGCACAATCGAAAGGATCTTACACCTAATCTTTTTTACGACAGGTTATTATCGCGTTAATTACGACACAAATAATTGGCTACTACTTGCCGCTTACCTACAGTCGGCCAATTCTGCACGCATACCTGCCCTAAATCGCGCACAGATTGTCAATGATGCATTTTATTTTACAATAATGGGCAAACTAGAATCCGCTGTCTTCTTCAATGTCACTCATTTCTTAAAGAACGAGATAGATTATATTGTATGGTATCCTATGTTTAATATCTTTTCGAATATGTCGACTTATTTAAAATATCCAGAGGCTGAATTAGTGAGGGTGAGTACAATCTAATTTCACAAGTAACATTTATTAGTTGTTACATTATACACATGGTCGCGCAAAGATATAAAGAAGTCATAGAAGAGTATGGCACTGTACGTTTAGAAATCTAGGAATATTTTTTATATCCTGTGTTTACTCGCACAGTCTTCGTGCGTAATAATGTGCTTATACGAGATTATTGTAATGTAACTGTTATTTTCTTTCTCTAGGAAAAATTTGTGGATCTCCTGAGTGGACTACTTGAGAATCTGAGCTACAAAGAACGTCCAAACGAAGATGCTATGATGGTGCCGTTAAGACTATTGGCAATAAAGTGGGCCTGCACACTGAATCTTACAGACTGCAAGAAAAAAGCTGCCAGCAATTTAATGGAGTATATGAACTACTACACAGACACGTAAATTTTCTTTTCTAAATCGCTACTTATTACTTTTAATATATTTGCTTACTATGCCTCGTGTTATTATTGATGAATTATCGATAAAAATGTGATCGAAAGCGTGATCGAGAAAAAGAGATCAAAGACTAAGTGTTTGTTATGAAAGTTTAACTCTTTTCATGCACACCGCAGAATTCCATGGATGAGCAATTGGATGTTTTGTGAAGGAATGAAGGATGCAAACTTGACTGTTTGGGAAGAGATTTTTCATGTTGCTAGTCAACATAAACATACGGAGCTGTTAGAGAGCTTATCTTGTTCGGAAAATGTAACAGTTATTTTGCACTATTTGGACTTGATGCTGAATAATCATCTTGAAGACGAATTAAAATTACATAAAGGAAAAATGTTAGGATTACCTATAGGAAAAATGTTCCAGACTGTTCTGAAGAAACATGTGAGGAGAAGTGACGTGTTGAAATTTGCGTTAGATAATTATAACCAAATAATGAAAAGGTATACCTCTTCACGAACGTTTAACATTAACATTTTTATCATCGTCAGATATAGTTATATCTATAAATACTATAATTAATGCTTCATTTTTCACTAGATTCCCCTATGACTTAAATAATACTACTTTTATGGCTAATATCATTATGAATGTGTATAATGACAAAGAACTCAACAAGGTAAAACTTGCAATTTTTTAAACATTTTTCTTAGTTGTTCGTCATATGTATTAAGTTGATTAAATTAATAGATGAACAATTATATTGCAACTTATAGTCATTATTGTTATAAGCTGTTGCTCATTATTGAATTTGATTAATATCTAAATTATTATTACTTTCTTTTAGATAATGAATTTCACAAAAAAGGAATTTTTGTGTGTCGATCAACTGTGTCCATTCTTAAGCTGGATTGAAAAACAACGACATCAAATAATGAAAGTGCGACACATGTTTCGAATGTTTTAAGACAATAGAAAGAAAATTGATATCGTAACCTTCCAAGTAAGCAAGCAAATCAGCATCGACACACGCGAACAAATAGCTCCTACCATTAATTTTATGAATTGCAATATTTTTTTATATATTTATATGAAACATATTTATAATAAACACAACATAACGTTTCTTCTTTCATAATTTATATATTATGCAATTATATCTGTTTTCATTCATCTTCGTTCTCATTTCATGAGAATCCCAAAGAACAAGATGAGATAAAAGGGAAGACAAAGTATCTTTCTTAAATTGCAAGGCATAGTAAATGTTTTTTTTATAAAACAGATAACCATAACAAAGTCAAACATAAATAACAATTAAAAATAAATTTTTATCAATAAATATAACATATATCAAAATAAAAAAAGGAAATAGGTGTCTCACTTCAAATCTCATTTCAAACAGATATTCCTAATAAAACATACATATTTCTCCAAAATACGGAAACAATACGGGCGTACAGCTTCTTCAATCAAACATATCGTTCACACAATTGTTAATTATAACGCTGTGCTCTTTGCCAGATTAACAAATCGACAGAAATGATAACATGTTGCGAAGGGACTTCTGTCCTGCAACTCATCTTTTTTCTTTTTCAAGTAATTAAATCACAATTAAAGAACAATATTGTCATGAACAATTTATGCGTATTTAACAAGCTTCATAGTTAGAAAATAAATTCTCCGCGCATATAGATGTGTCAAAAATGCAAACATCTTTAAAACTACTCTTTAGTATTATCCTGATGTCTTCTGTAGCTGATTTTAGGACTGCAGAAGATTTCAGAAATTGTACTTACTATCATCTATCCACTACTAGTATAGCATCTATAAAATATGGCATTGGACTCACAATATCATGTATAAAAGTTATGTCAGCCTTTACTGACACACGTCAACGACAAATACAAGTTACAAGTCTGCATGCATGCAATTTGGAATTGGATTTTCGGTGCATAATAATTAAAGTTTCGTGCAACGCCGTCTTGTTCTGAGGCGGATGCTTCTTATAGATTGCGGAATTTAATATTTTCTTACGAAGAAGAGACTTTGCTCCTGACTTTTGCCGATCTCATACCTATTAGTAATGATTGGGCAACTCGCTTGCAAACGCAGAAACGGACTCACCTCTTGCGCCTAGCATTCGCCAAGCCGATGATCACGCCGCAGAACACCAGCATGCTGTCCGCTTGGGCGATTTCGCACTTTACTCGCGCGTTTACAGCTTTCGTTTCGTGATATAAATGTTGCGTGAATTATCGCAAGATGATCATCCGTCAACAAGCAGCGACGTGCAGATGTTATGTTATTTCATATAGATACACGATTTTTTCCATATTATAATGCATGAAATACTCCGTGATCTTTAAATTTTTTGGGATAAAATTTCGCTTGAAAAGTAGAGAACCGAAGCACTCGAATTCGAATGATTTTTCATTCATATGAAGTGTATATTCTCTGCGCTCTGCATCATCGAGTGAATATTTAATTTATCTTATTTATTTATTTATTTTATCATATATAATATTATTTATATTTTATTTATTTGTTTAATTTATTCAATATAATATTTATTTATTTGAACATTTTATTTATTTCACTCCAAATTGACAGAGCACTTGAAAACTAAGTACAAAAACAATCTCCTGAAAACTAAAAGAATGAAGTTGTCCTATAAAGTTGCATGACAAGTTTTCGGGATTGTGATTTCGGGACAATGACGTGTTTTTAATATTTCAGGACGATTGTATTTCGGTGTATTGACTTACAGTGAAAAAAAGAATTTTATTGTCAAAACGAAAATTTAGTATAGGATAGTACAGAATTATAATTTGGTAAACATTTGGTTGACATAATTTTGAAAATTATGTCAACGAAATATTTGGCAATTGCAACGAAAAAATCTGATATGTAAGCCGTTATGTGTGCTTCGCTTTCTCAGTAATATACGTACTTGACACAATTAAAAAGCATGCAATGCCAACCAACTCATATATACCAACATTTAAGTTCCAAATTTTTTCATCACAGTATTCAGTTTTCGGGATTGTGACTTTTTTGTAGGATTTTGTAGGATTGCGAAATTTTACCCTACTTTTAGGGTTTCAGTACTTTTTTCCGAAATTATATATATATGTATTATGTGTATTTGTGTATCCACCATCAAATCTCTCACTTACGCTCACTGAGTGAACTCACGTGTCACGATTTGATTAGCTCGGGTTAATAGGGACTGTTAATTGATAACGCGATCGGGGGTCGAACCGACGTTGGTCGGCGCCGCGGATACAATGTCTCCCGGTCAGCAGCAGCAGACGAGACGATGCATTCGCGTGCTCTAACATTAGACAGAGACGGAAATAGACCGGAGTGGTGACCCTTCTCTAATCGGTGTCCGCCAGTTTCTGGTTTTCAAGCGGAATATAACATAAATATAAGCCGCGAGTAAGAGAAAGGAGTGGGAAATTTTAACACTGTGATCTCTCTGGCTGTCTCTAAAAACGGGACTGTTTTTTTCCACTCGGTGCATTCCGCGACGTCAACTCGATAAATAAACCTCACGTGTGCATTCTTCACACGATAGCGTGCAGTTGGACTCGACTCGGCGAATAATTTTCAGCATTGCGAAACCACCGCGGTGTCCCTTTAATGAATTTTCAACAGGAAATCGCGCGCTCGCGAACTTCGCAATAATTCCACAGTTGCTCTTGTCGCAGAAAACGATATGGAATCTCGGTCTAATTATTTTCTCGGTCGTCGTAATAATAAGTGCAATTTTTTTGTGAAATTTGCGAAATTTCGGCAAAACAACAAATAATTTTATATAGAAGATACTCCGGATTTGTCTCCATCACAGCTCATCTACATGTGATCATTCACTAATCTTCTTTAATTAATATGTCGAAATTTATTGCAAATATCGCAAAACAGTATGGGACTTTTATATTCACCTCAATCCATTCTACGTTCCTACGAACATTGCGAAGACAAATCTGGGACACCCTGTTTATAGGGAGCTTAACAAAGGTTTAATATAATCTAAATACTTTATGTGTTTGCATACAATTTCATATTCTTAAGAATTTTTCAGGAAGCTCAAAAATCGAGATACTTAGTTTTCGCGAACGCGAGCAAAAATGGAGTAAAAGTAAAATAAAAGTAGACTAGAGGGAAAGTGAAGGATGAAAGCGAAAGCAAAGAAAATGAGAAAACTGGGAAGCGATATTAAAGTCTCTTCTAGTTCGCAGGTCATATCGTGCTTTTCAATCCCCGCGTCTCTCTTCCGTCTCCGTTTCCCCTTTTCACTTTGTCTCTCTTTATTCTTCACTCCTCTCATTCTTGTACATCGGGAGAGCCCCTTTCCCGAAAGTCATCTCGTGCTCGCTCTTGCATACCGCTGACTCCGCCGTTTAATCTGATACGCTATGCTGATTTACAGCTAAAATTCTTATCTGATGTATTTCCCTCTCGGCGTGGCAGCGACGGCACGACGTCGACGCCATATCGACGAGGACAAGATATGTAACGCATACAGGGCGATTCAAAGCAACTTCCTATCTTGGAAAAATGTCTCATATTTTTTAATAAATTCTGAAACAATTTATCCTCTTGCAAAATGTTATTCGAGAAACTTAGTTCTGAAATTATAAAAATAAAAAGTTTGCCTATTATGGGTTGGATATAGGAGATATAAGCAGGGGAAAACGCAAATCACCATCAGACGCAGGCGCTGGCATTGGCACGTTTAATGCGATTAGGGGCTGGTTGTTCCAACTTCTTGGTAAGTAACTAATAGTTAAATTATATATGTGTCTTTATCTAAGTTGAAGGAGAAACAAGGATAGATATATGATTTATTCATCAGTCAACTTACCAAGAAGTTGGAACAACTAGCACTTATTGAGATGTGGTGTGTAATTACTTGTAAATACGTCGGTGACTATAAATATCATCATTGATTATTTCGTCTGGCTTTCGAATTGGTGCCACGTTCTTCAAATATTCGTTTCTGATGTTTCGTAAGTATCTCGCTCTTCACTTCTTCAGCAGACTTTCCTCAGTACAAAAATGACTGCAGCCAAAAATTGCAGGTCTCTCTAATTCGTTTATATTTACAATAAATCTTATAGACCACTGATTGAATAACTTCAACTATGAGAATATTTTATTGTGGTCATTCTCCGTAGAAATTACAATTACAAATTACAAATAATATAATAATGTCATAAAGAACGAAGTCATAGAACGCATGTAATGCAAGACAGAAAAGTCAGAGTAGTCAGACCTGCACTTTGGCTCTCAACTTTATATGATTTCGATCTTATTTAAAGAGCATTAGACAATCATTTAATTGCAATTGAAATGTTAATAGCAAGAGATAATAACAGTAGAAATAGAAATGTTTTCTTTAGAGCAGTGGAAGCTAGGCAATTCGCGTAGACTTCGGCGAGGAACGTTTTCGCATTTCCCCACAAATGGCCGTACGTCGCGCCTAGTAAATGACTTCATTAACGAACTGATCTGTTTCAATCTCCGGGCGCGTGTTCGATACGTAATTCGTAATACGGTAATTTACGAAATCGTCTATGGCCTGACCAGTGCACCTGCGCACCCCGAAACTTTCCTTTGTCCATGGGGAGGGAGTGAAAAATTGAGCCTCCTTGAAACGACGCTTTCTGTCTTCCTCCCTCTTTCTCTCCACCACCCTTTCCCTACAAGAAAGAGTGTATTTTAACAACGTAGTATCTATTACTTCTTGGAATATTTTGAGATTTTCTGACGATTATCAGTATTTAAATTTAGATCTCGGCGAGAGCAACGCGTCGAATTACGCGTTGTAGTACGTAAGCTACCCTTTCCAGAACCATTTTTTGGTTCGTTAGGTCCCTTTGGTGGCAGAGTGCATGCGTAAACTCGATTTGCTTTCGATGAATTTAATTTCTCGCTTCGCAGGACGCTTTATCGGGTTCGTGCTGGTGCGACAGGGCCAATAAGGTACCCGTTGCCTAATATTGGCGTCTTAGCTTGATTACCTTAGACATCGCGCCAATTCGTGTCGATCAAAGCGCTGTCACATCATGCCGTTTAGAGTCGCTATACCACAAAGTCTGGACGGGTTATTAGTTTATTGATAAAATAATAATATAT